GTCACGCGTCGGGTGTCTTTGTCTTCTGCCTACAGACCAGTATTTGATTTATTATTATTATTATTATTATTATTATTATTATTATTATTATTACTGAGGGAAATGTTGACTGGTGTCGTGAGTCTCTTGGAAACAGGGGTCCCATAATACAGGTGGTTTTGCGTTAAATCCGAGGGAGGACGTCCATTCCCCTGTCCTACGCCTAAACCAAACCTTAACCGGAACCCCATTTTCCCTGAAATTCGGCGAAAGGCCATCTCTACTACAGGGGGTTCCTATTCTGATTCTCGATCCAAGATTCTCCTAATGCCTCTCAGCTAGCCTCTCCCTTGACTGTATTTGACGCCAGTTCGTGACAGAGGGATCAAAGAATGATGTGGACAAAGGCAGCTTTTTTCTCCTGGTTGAAAATGTTGCCGAATATACCCAACGGAGGACGGGAATGGCTGCCTCTGGCTTATCCGTCGTCATTAGTCAGTCATGTCTCAATTTCAAGGCGGGGAGGACTGACTTCTGAACCCGAGTTAGTAACGGGTTCGCGTCATCGTATCTACGATCGCGAGTAGTCAGGGTCACGTGGAAGCTGTGCTCATCTCACTGGATGGGCTACGGACAGTCTGTCTTTTTTTGAAACGGGATGTGATAACCTGATGACGGTTAATAAACAAGAATGTTCCTTTCGACTGACTGTGTCTGCAGAGCGTCTGGACAAACAATCGGCCGCTGCCAGTGATCGCCCCTCCCTTCTAAGTTGCTCCACAGTACGGCCAGCTACTATAATGCTTCACATTTGTCCCTGCTCGGCAGTTTGCCTTCGATTTCTATCATCCCGCTGACCAAAGCTGGGATTCCATCCGCTCCAGAAACCGGACTTCACAGACCACTGAACCACTGGGGCGTCATCCCATATAAGGGGCATTAAAGATGATGATCAAATCAATATGCACTGTGACGCTGTCAGGACCTCATTCGGACCAGATCAACTACCTCTAGCTGAGTAGACATAGGGCACTGTGGCGGCATTTGGTTTGCAACCACAGAGGGGGGGAGATGATCTGACGTGGGCAAGGCAAATGCAGCGTCTCCTTTCGTTCATTATCAATACTCAGCACGTTCTGGCATTTTCAATCTAACCAGAAGGAGCACGCCTAAGACTGGAGCATACCGCTTATTAAACGCGTGAACAAAGCTCAATTAGGAGCATTGTTAGGTGTAGAGGAGCTGCTGCTGAAATGATCAGGCCGGAAATTCGACAGCGCTCATTTGTTTTCCACATCGGGAGGTCAGTTGTGCAGTTGTATCGAGCACTATTAATGGGGAATTATGGAAATTCTGCCCCCCCCCTTTTTTTACTACTGAGGAGGTCGACTTTGTCCTTGTCTGAAATACCCATGGGTTACGTGGTACCTCGGTTTCTTAGTGCGCGTTCGAGAGAGACGAGACGCTGGTCACCAAGTGGTCACTTTTCAGGGACACACATAATTGACTTTAACCTGGGGACCACCGTTGGGTCAAGCGTGGGTAAACGGGGTGTTGCAAGCAGCCAAGTAAACTTAGTATTCCTGAAGTGTACAGATGGGTTACCAATCGCCAATCTGATACGCGGTCAATGTGCCCAGTCACGTTGTGGGGACCTCCTTCGAGTCCCCATTGTTTAACTACCAACGTTGGGACACAGTGGATGCAAATCGCCCCTGTATTAGTGACAGTACACCCACACCAGCTATCGGAGAGGCCTTTGATTGGCTGAGGGGAGCGCGTGGGATGATTGACCAAGTCCTCTAATCTTACATCACTTAAATTATGTCTTTGGGTTTGCTTGAAATGGAGAGTTTACGGTGATAGACCTAAAGCGGTCAATTTGTCCGCGCGAGTGACGTCGTCCACTATGTGCTTCACGGTTCAGAACGATGACTCGCACCTGAACTATTTTATTGCGAGACAGACTTGCGCAGCATCTAGCGCACGCTCTCTCTCCCCCCACCAGCCCGACTCCGATGGTAAGACAGAGTCAAAACAACAGAGGGCGGGCTCGACAACAGTGACTGACAGAACTAAACATCCCGTCTACGCGTCCCATACACGACCATGCGCGCGCAGGCATGGTCAGTCGACCATGCCAGCCACCGCGCCCATTCCCCATTCCAGTCTGCTGACCGGCTCGGACAGCGGCTGGGGTGTGGGAATGGGAAGGGAGAGTGAGGTCGACGACTCAGCGCACTTTCTCCTCACTATAAACAATCTGACACGCTTGAAGCTATCACGGTGCGCTAAAAGCCGTGGCTTGGAAGGTTGCCAACTGACGGGGTATCTTGGACCTCCTCCTTGACGGGAGGCGGTCTGAGAGTCAGGCTGCAATGGCTCCTTTTTAATGTGGCCTTTATGGCACTCTCACCACAGTGTGGGATCCGAGCCAGGCGTTGGCGGCACCTCCAGGTGCGGCTTCGGCCGTGCCAGCCTCCAAATCTCTGCTGTGTTGGTTGAAATCCTGGTCATTGTTGTGTGGACCAGGGGGTGTGGTGGAACGCCAAGGTGAAGATCCGTCCGAGCCATCCACCTGCGGCCTCCCCCGTCTCCGGTCTTCTTGACTCTGTCTTGACACCGGGCCCAGGCGGGGGAGGAGGAGAGAGTGTAGGTAGATGCTACGCAAGTCTACTGGCACTATAAACCCCTGCGTAAGTCACCGTCCCTGCTCCCACCGCTGATGCAGCTGTGGGGCACACGGTGGACATAGTCGAAATCGACGGTCGAACTGTCGTGTGAGAGTGCCATTCAGGTAAAATTAGGGAAGGGGCACTGCCCTGACCTGTTAACTATCTGGTGCGCGGTGGCTGGCGCGGTGTGAAGCCTACGTCTAGGCGTGCCACAACCCTTCCCCCCACCCCTGGGCTGTGATAGCTACAAGCTCGCGTGGACTCCGCACAGTCTAGTTAGCGCGTGGCTTGGCCCGGCCTGGCCACTGTCTTGGTCCAGCGCATCTACAGCGCAGTTTCATCGTGGAACAGTTGAAACAGTCCATGGTGTTGTTGTTCTTGTTGGCGAAGAATTCTGATAATTTGTTGTTTGGAACAAGGGATGCGATAGCACGCCTTGCCAGCCACCTGAACCCTCTTCCGCTTCCGGTCTTCTTGACTCTGTCTTGACACCGGGTCCAGGTGGGGAGGAAGGGAGAGTGCGGTAGATGCTGTGCAAGTCCACAGTCACTATAAACTAACTCACGCACAAGTCACCGTCCCTGCTCCACCCTCCTCTGTAACACACGGTGGACATCGTCGATAACGACGGTCGAACTGCGTTTTGACTAGAGCCGCATTGCCCACCAGATGGCTACCGGTAGCGATAGCTGGAACAGGGGGTAAAAAACGCTACAACTAAGATTGAAGTTATTTTTTTGCTCTAGGCGTCTCAGTGTCTGGTTGGAGGCAGGAAATTCAAATTATACCCGGAAGCAGGTCTATCGAAAGACGGCAGTTTTGCTCTAAGACGTGTGTAGCTTTCTTTAAGCATCTGATTTTGGGTCACAGACCAAGAGCTTTTCTCTCCTAGATAAATGACATGGACCTTTCGAAAACTGAAAGTACGTAGACTGTAGTTTTAGTTAAAAAAATAATCAGGCAAGTAGTTCACAGCTTTGTTCGTTTATCGAACCGATCTGATGTCGTCCAGCTAGTAATGACAGACAATACGTTAAGCTCGACTGGTTGATTTGACTTCACACTGCGAAGGACTGACGGAGTGACTACCGCAGGGCGTTTGTCATGAAGATGATGAGGCATCCTGTGTTTGTTTACTCCTCCTCCTCCTGGTCATCCTTTTTCACGGAACGCCGATTTAAGGATCGACGAGCGATATTTTTTGGAAGTGAAACTGGCACGAGTTGCTACAGTGACTCAGAGCGTCGGTCTAGCATTAGAATATTTTTCAAGCAGTAGAAGGGACTAAGACTATTGTCTCAGCGGGCAGATAACCACACAACCCGTAGGGTTGTTGGTAGAACACGGAAATATGAACCTCCGTGGCTTTGTGCTTATTTGCAGGCAGATCAGGGTCAGGGTTAGGACATTGGTATAGGCACCCTTCCTGGAATTTGGCGCAAGATCACCCGTATTCTCTGGGGAGGGACAGGTTCTATTCCTGCATCATACTGGGTCGTGCCCCTACAAGGGACCACACAGTGAATGCGCCAGACCAACACGGGAGCCAGAATGGGGTGGGTAAGCGTTATTGGGAATGTGTACCCATAACAACTGCCACACATGAGGGCTGTCGCGGCACGCCTAGGTGCAGACTCACGCCGTACCAGACACCTGTCCCCGATTCTACTTCCGATCTACCTGACTCCGTCATAGCATCGGTCGCAGGTTGCTGGGACAGGAGAGAGCGCGGTAGCTGCTGCGCAAGTCCACTAATAATTATAGTCTGATTCCCGCGTAATTCGTCGTCCCTGTTTCCACCCTGCTGTGGAGGGCACACGGGGGACATCGCCGGGAACGACAGTAGAGCTGCCATCATGTGGTCATGCTTCCAAATATAGTCTTATACCATCCACGAGAACTAGGCACGATAAGGCAGTCTGTACTGCTCATAACTGACGATAGGGCTGTTTCATGATGGCCTATCGCACCGAATTAGCCGAGCATACCTTTCATGAACACGTGCTCCAAAAATAAAGTGGTGTGGCCTGCAAGACTTCAAACGAACACGTCTTGAGCCTGATGTGGTCAAGAACAGCAATTTGCAATCAAAAAATTAGGCTACTCATGAAGTGACTATCCACATTTCATCCACAAACTCCGATCTCGTAGGTATACGCCATGAAAAGAAGCACTCAATATGGTGGAGTGGGGGCTTATTGCATCGCGGTTGGGCATTCGCCCTGACACCAATACAACATCACGACACGTCGGAGGCTCACGGTAGGCTGCTTGGGATTTAAAAGGTTAGATGAGCAGAAACCGGAACGCTGGCAGTATGACCCCTGATGTAGTTGGGCGTAGAATTTAACACCCTTCATCATCATCATCATCATCATCATCATCATCATCATCATCATCATCATCATCATCATCATCATCATCATCATCATCATCATCATCATCATCATCATCATCATCATCATCATCATCATCATCATCATCATCATCATCATCATCATCATCATCATCATCATCATCATCATCATCATCATATGCGAGTAAATGGTGGCCCTCCTCCCTTCCTCGCGGACTATACGTACAGCCCGACAGTCTCCATCACTAACAAGCGTGACTGACCTCTGATTTAATGTCCCAGAATCGAATATAAGGCGATTTGTAAGTCCATTTCGCGGAGTGCACGCTGCCTTCGGGAACTTACGCATTTTCAATCGGAACCTGGTATGACTGATCCGTCATTACCACACCAGCATGTTTTATTCGGCCGGAGTGCATTTGGTTGTGAAAAAAGCACATTTTACTGGGGAAGAACAAGCATTAACTTTCTGACAGGGGGTCGCCTACTTCAGTGGAAAGTGGTTCGCGCCATCCTTTTGAGACCGCAACTATGCTTAATTCCCCTCTCCCCACACGGACCTGAGCACTAACTCGGTCTTTGCCAGCCGATACACCACGGTATGCTAACGTTGCCTCGGCGACAGGTAGTCGCAGCGAGATGGTAGGAATCCCTCCTCCCCCCCCCCCCAACACGGGTGGTCCTGTACCAAACTCCATAGGGGTTAGGGTTGGGGTCAAAGTTAGGACGCGGGGATAAATACCCCACCCCTGGAATTTAGGGCAAGACGCCCTGTACTTCGGGAGGGGGGGGGGAAAGGGGGAGGGTACTAATTCCAAACACAAACCGAGTATTGCAAAAGCATGAAAGTGGCACTCATCAAACTACTACCCTCAAAAGGTCATTTCATTTTGCCTTGGAGTTGAGGATCTCAGGCCCACGCAGGCGGTTGCATCGTAGCCTGCTTAATGTGGATGTGTTAGTCATAAAGACAGAGGCACTAGAATGCCCATTAGGGGCTCATTAATTGTCCTAAGGAGTGATAACCAAACCAGCAATTGTTGGCACGCGCGAGGTTCGAATTCTAAGCGCCAAACAGCGGCCTCACAGCTGCGTTACGGATTTGCGCCATGTCGGCTGAGGTTAGAAACTTTAGGTCACATGAGAGTGGAGTGTAACGGATCTGATCTGATCGTAGGACAGAAATGAGCGTTCTCGTTATGCCTTGGAGCTCCGCACGGCGACGAGCAACCAGTGACCGATTAATACTGCCGACAAAGCTGACGGAGGCTCCAAAGGCCTCGCAAGTGCAAAATAACCCTCCCCCCCCTCCAGCAAATGTCCTTGAACCCTCGTAAATGATGGCTGTTCACGATCCAGGTACATATATCCAGCTTTTGCGAGAAGTTTGTACAGACTGGCTCAGCGGAAAACAGATGAATCAAAGGACTCCCAGGAGCGGAACGTATTAGGTTGAAACTTGTCAAGTGCACACTGCAGAAAAGCATCTGGCTTAGGGGGCACCTTATTGGTAAGGAGTTGCAAGAAATTCCTAACACAAACCCTTGGCCTCGGCGTAAACCATCGCTTTTTCACCAGGACATTTGTCGCCACGGAACCTTCCTCGGGGCTCGAAGCACTGTCAGGGATGATCAATGCCAAAAGAGTCTGACGCCACTGACTGTGCGAAGGGATACTCATAAATAACTCCTGCCTAAAAAAAACAAGCAGCGAGCGAATGCGCGAAAACCAAAAAATGACTGGGCCTAACTGCGGAGGGCCATCCCCCCTATTAAAGATCTTCAAGAGACGGTCTCCAGACTGTTACTTTCCCTTGAGCAAAAGTGGTTCATAGACCAGGGACGCTGCTTGACACCACCGGGGGGGGGGGGGAGAGGAGTGGATACAGAGACATCCTAAGAGGCCGGAAGCTAATTTTAAGTACTACCGCAAGTAAGTCAGAAAAGCCGAACAGAAACTGCAGGCCGAGTCTGCATGAGCGTTGGTTAGTGCAACACAGGTTCGCCTTCGTCCTCCCTCCCCCGCTTCCGCTCTTTTTGACTCTGTCTTGACACGGGGCCAAGGTGGGGAGTGAGGAAGAGAGAGTGCGGCAGAGGCTGCGCAAGTCTACTTAAACGAATTCATGCGCACGTTGCCGTGTCTACTGCAGTTTGCTACGGAGCACACGGTGGACATCGTCGAGCCCGACGGTCAAACTGTCATAACGCAGGCTGGGCCCCAACACCCGCAAGTCGTTCTGCACGGAGTGACGGGCCACAGTTTCGGCTGCAAGGACGTGGGCATTTCGGACGCAGGCAATTTGGGGATCGAGGACCAGGTTAGAAAACACGCTCGTCAGTATCTCCAGGGTTTACTGCCGTGGTGTCACAGTTAAAAGCAGTAAGAGACGATCTGGTGGGCAACCCCGCTTGGTAGGAGATCGACTAACCGGCGGGAAAATTGACTACCTGTTTCCGAGGCTTTGATGAGTTAACGCAAAGCAGGCAGCGCTGCGTCGAACACCACGGGAATTCTTAACCAAAGGCAACGAACGCAAAAACTATGTCTGGCTGCCCATCTCAAAGAGGCACTGGATTCGGCATGGTTTTATTGCGATACTCCGTGTTAGGACCGTCCGACCCTTCGAAATTCCAGTCGGTTTGGAGACTTACTCTCACTTTCGTCGGGAGCAGTGGACACGTCTTTCAACGGGCTCCCCAGCTTAAAATCGTGGCGGCGATTCTGAATCACCGGACGTTTACAGAAACCGTGACGGCCGCTGGCACCCTCACCTCCCCCCGCGGCCCAGTACCGTCATCGCCAAGCTTTGCTCGCTTTAATTCTACCTTTTTTCTACTAATTGGCGCGGTACGTCGCCTACAAAGGACTGTGTGTGTGTGTGCGAGTGTGGAAAGACTTGTGACCATTATCTCGCAGAGGGTCGCCGCACCCCTCCCCGCGCCGTGTGATCCGCGCGTCACGACGCGGTTGACAACGCTCTTTCGCCAAGGGCCGCGATAGACGGACAGGCGCGCGTACGCGCGCAGCCTGTCGTGAACGCGAAAAGCGGACAGGCTCAAATGCACACCGTTTATTGGGCCAGTGCAAGCGGGGGCCTAGTGCATACGAGCAGTCAATTGGAGAGGTAGAGACGGCGTGTCCACTTGGGCCCTGCTGACCAGCGTGCTTTATACCCTTGCGCAGCGGCGCACTCCTTTATCATCTCGCGTGGCGTGTGCGCGTTGTCGTCGTCGTCGGTCGTCCCGGGTGCGATCCGCGTCCGCAGTCGTCTTGGCCCTGCCATATCGTGCGCGGACTCTTCGTATCGCACGCCGTTCGGCCACAGGCCCCTCGCGTCCGTGGTGGTCGTATAGGCGTGAGGGTTGCAGCTATACCGTAGACGGTGACTGCTTGCGGCGGCGCACGCCAGCCCGCGGAATCTCTCTCATCTGTTCCTGACCTGACGTACGTTTACTGATAGTTCCTTATTTGCCACCCAGGTAATGGTACCGCTCATGTGTTTGTATAGGTGGGTGAAGCGGCTTGTATCGCGTTCTGAGAACCGGTCATTACCTCTGAGATCGCGATTAAAGCTGATTCCTCATTTGTGATCGTCTGCCTTTATCCTCCCCCTGTTTAGTAATATTGTTTTTTATTTATTATCTCGTGGTGGCTGTTTCACTGCAGATGCGGAGTTAGTCACTTGATCTGAGAACCCCCGTTCTGTCGAGAAGACGGCTGTGCGAGGGGTTTGTTGCCTGACATATGACCTATCGGCCTTGATTGTGGGATTAGTATTTACGACCAAGATAACCAAACTGCTTGATTGGCGTATATTTTTATTATCTGCGTACTCATGCCGCAGTAAGCGCAGTATAGCTGTGTCAGTTGTAATTAACTCCCTTACTCAGTAGACGGCGATAAGGCCTCAAGTCTCTAGACTTGGTTCGTTTGAAGGGAATGCTGAATGTCTAGTAATGAAAGTAACCCGCATAAGCAGAGCCGCAAACCAGACAGATTTATGCTATTGAGTCACAGGTTTGCATCTGGCTACTTGGGTTGCTAAATTCGACCTCGGACGTGTCCTAGGGTTTTAACGCTCCCTTGACTGGGGTCAATTTTTTTTTAATGGAGGCCCTGTGTGCTGATCCTCGAGTTGTGGCGCTGGCGTCGCAAAGATTTTTGGGTTGGGCGAGAAATAGTACGGTAGGTGTGCCAACTCTTGAAATGTCATGAGTTTGCGCATGGAAATCCCTATAACGCGAAATCCGCCCAACCTACGTTATCCAAAGCCTAAAGAAGAAGGCATACTTGGGGTTGTGCATTAATATTTACTAGCGTAAAAGTAATTTCTTCTCACTGAAGACTGGAATTTCGTAAAACGGAATCGCTTAAATAGAGCTAGCTATAAGGGTACATAATTAAGGGGACGCATGGGATGGGGAAAGTAATGAAAAAAACAATAGTAGATACGAAAGATCAGTACTTTGTTGATTATCCGTTTACATTGAACACAGCAGAAAGTCTCTCAGACATGGAGATGGCCAGGTTGTCTGTATAATGGATTGTTCAATGTGGTTTCCTAGCACAAAATCAAGTTTTTCATGCATTGAAAGTCTCTTATCTATCTTATGCCATTGTGTTTTGATAAGGTCAAGATTTTCGATGGGATTGAGATCCGGGCTGTCGGCAGGAATAAAAGTCGACTGGAGGCCATATGCAGAGAGGCTGGCTGTTGTCTAGAAAGTCAGATTACGGTTGATGGCGTCATTCGATTCATGTCTCTCTAGAATGATGGGCAGGAGCAGTCGTTTGAAATCCAGTCGACGTCGGTGGATTTCGTTGTAATCGAAAACGTCCTTCACAGTGTTGACGAACACCTTGAAGCACAATGCACATAGGCGTGAAGTTTTGATCTACAAATTTCCATATCGTGGGAAATTATCTGGATAACAAGAAAGGTCGGATTTAGCCCAAATCTGGTCTGTTTCTCTCGAGTAAAACTGACTTGAGAGAAACGCGTCTTCAGTAAATGGCTTTCTGTGTGAAATTATCTTAATAAACACATAGCAACACCACATGCATGATATGCTTATCGTCAAAATTACGACCGTGACATTTCATGAGTTAGACCACCTACTGTAAGGTTCCGGTTGGGATTCGAGTACGGAATAAGGTACCCTCTTGGAAATTGCGGGGCGATGGGGGGCACCGGGGTCCATATTTCTGTGTCCGACCGCTTTCTGACCTGTGTCAACTTCTCTAAGATGGCCAGTGGGAAGCCAAGGGCTCTGAATGTCTTCCTCAAGAAGCGTCGAGGCAAAATCATCGAGCTAAGACTTCCTAAGTCGACCCGCAATGCTGACATGCTCAGTTAGTTTTCGTGTGGGAAGTCCTTTGGCGA